GAGCAACTCCTATAGTTGATACATTGATGGCATTTTGCACTGACTCCTAAATGATTATCTCAGCAACATTGAGTGATTAACAGTTAATTACTGGAAAATCGCCATTTATACAAGAACATCTTCAATCTGAACTGATATAACAGTGTGCTTCAGTGTTCTCTTCTATTTGTGAGGTATAGGTTAGAAAATTATATATTTACCAAATAATACTGTGGTACTTAAAGGGAATTCTCTCCAGCTGTGAAATAAGAGCCTGCCATCTGCCAGTTTGAAGTTGTTCTTTCTTTTTGCAGGCTAACGTTTAGCTGGTTGCCCATGCAGTAAATATGTGGGGCTTTGCTTAGATATTTAGCTCATTGGTTATAGTTTGAACTGTAAAGAGCTTGTCTTCTGCGAAGTATTTATGGAATATGAATTTGGAAATAATTTTAATTGATAAGAGCAGAATATTTTTTTCTGATACACCAGCACTATTTTTACTTTACCAACATGTTTTTGTTTCTTATCTCTATCTCGTCACCGTACATTTTTTCCCACAGGCCTTTTTTTAAAAAAACCTCAACGAATACCAACTGGAATCTCAGATTTCAACCCTAATTGTAAGAATGTTTCCTAGAAGTACATAGTTGTATGTAATTGTTTCAAGCAGATACATTTCATGGTGGGTGCTTCAAACTGGTGCTTTCTCACTTTTCATGTGCTCTCATTACTGTGACCTTAAACTCACGCAACCCTCCAATCTTGGAAGATTTTCTTCCTCCCCCCTTAATCTGGTGCATATACAGTTACTACTTCTGTAGATCATGCATCAGCCTTTTTTTTAAGAAACTTTGTTGGATACAGACAAGTACATAATGGTGTGACACATATGATGGATGAATAGCTAATTTGCTCAATAGAATGTGGAACAAGAAAGAAATGTGATTACTTTCCAGAGTTAACAACTTTTGCATAGTAACTCTCAGTGTAAAGAAACATATTGAAGCATTAATTGGAAATGAATTGAATGGTTTGGAGCCAAACACATCAGCTGATCGGCGTCCGGTAGTATCCTGGTAAAAATGAGTAGTCAATGAGGGGGTGAGATAATAATACTAATAATGCTTGCATTTGATATAGCGCTTTGTCATAGATTCATGTTATATTACGGCACAGAGGGAGGCCATTCGGCCCATGGAGTCTGTGCCGGCTCTTTGACAGATCAAGTCACTTTCAATAACTACAATCACCAGCTTTCTCCCCATAACCCTGCAAACCCGTCTTCCCCAGATACCTATCCAGTTCTCTCTTAAAAGCTGTTATCGAATTGGACTTCACTCCCCTTTCAGGCAGATCATTCCAAATTCCAACAACTCGCTGAGTGAAAAAAATTCTTCTAACCTCCCCTCTGCTTCTTTTGGTAGATATCTTAAGACTGACCATGGGTCACAGACACACCTACCAGCGGAAACAGCTTTTCCTGTCAAAACCTTTCATGATCTTGAAGACCTCTATCAGGTCCCCGCGTAATCTTCTCTGCTCTAATGGGAAAAGTCCTAACTTCTCCCGCCTGTCCTCATAGCTAAGGTTCCCCATTCCTGGTATCATTCTCGTGAATCTCCTCTGCACCCTTTCCAGTGCCTTAATGTCCTTCCTGAAGTAAGGTGCCCAGAACTGAACGCAGTACTCCAGCTGAGGCCTAACCAGTGTTTTGTGTAGATTAACCATAACCTCTCTACTCTTATACTCTATGCTCCTACTAATAAAGCTCAGTACACCAAATGCCTTTTTTACTGCCTTATCTACCTGCCCCGCTACCTTTAATGATTCGCTTATTTGAACACCCAGCTCTCTCTGTATGTTCACCCCCCTTAAGATTGAGCTACCAAGTCTATATTGCCTCCTATCATTTTTCCTACCTAAGTGTATCACCTCACACTTATCCGCATTGAAATCCATCTGCAACATGTCAGCCCATTCCACCATTCTGTGTATGTCTGCTTGCAGTTGGTTACACGTTTTCACATCTTCTAGGCGTCTCAAAGCGCTTCACAGAATCTACTGTAAAATGAATTGACTGTGTATTTTGGTAGCAAAACGCGGAAGCCAATTACACACAGCCATCACCCACAAACAGTTGTGAATTAAGTGATCAAATTATTATTGTTATTTTTGCCCAAGGAAGAAATAAAACCAGGCAAAATGAGAGGATAGGTGCAGAATAGAGTGCTATTGAATAGGACTGTAGCTCAGTGGTTAGATAGTTTGCCTCACAAGTGAGAGATCTGGGTTTGATTCCCGGTGGGGCAAAATGTTGGGCAAGTTTCCTTATTCCACACGCCTCTGTTTACCTAGCAGAAAGTCGGAACACGGTTGTTAGTCGCTTGTTGGATCATTTTTCCGGGGGTAATAATTCCTTAAAAAAAATAATAAATTGGTCACTCAATCCACGACTGTTCGTGGGACATTTCTGTTTGCCATTGGCTGCTGCTCTCTGTCCACAAATTTACGTCACTTATACATGTAAATTCCCTGTGTCTGGAATGGAATATCCTCTCTCACTTGAGTGACACACCCTGCTTACCTGCTTCTGGAGAATATCAGGCCTGTGCAAGAGGGACCCAGAATACATGTTGGGGGTACTGCTGGAGTTTAACCAGCTGAAACCACATAACTTAGTTTACTATTGCTTATCCAGTTTAGAGCATCCTATTTAGGCTTTTGACCTGTAGGGTAACAGGAGCCGAGTGAGAAGAATCCCTGCTACTCGTGAATGGTCTGCCCCTCCAAGTCCTGCCAACATGCTGGACTAGCTGACTCGTCATTAGCAATACACTGGACTACTGCGGAGCTGCCTGGCTCAAAAGTGTCATCTATGTACAGTCCTCAGTGAGGGGTGTGGGGGTAGCGGAGAATCAGATACACTTCCCACCTGCTGCCAGGCATGCAATCCTGTATTTTAGTAACATCAAAAAACAATCTGTTGAAACTTAGATGACCTGAGAGCTTTCAACAATCCACAGGGGAGTGATCCCTGTGAGATTTGCATCAGCTGCATTTACACTGTGAGGTCCTAAAGCCAACATCTCCAGGTGGTGTTTGGAACAAGCCTCGAGTGCAGTTTGTCCTCCCTCCAGCCCCGGTTTATACTGTATCTTTGTTGGCAAATCACCGTCAGACCATCAGTACAAATATCAGCATATGATATGGTATGAAATCTTTCAGAGTGAGAGGCTTAAAAATTCCATTGTGAATTGCTTTAGCTAAAGTTACCACAGTCGTCCATCATATCTTTCCAGAAGAAAGGATGGTCAGGGTGAATGACAGATGTGGTCCTCTGTGCATGAGCAGCGAAGTCCCAATTCAGAACCAAAAAATGACCCTCTACATGTCTGTAATTCATCCCCTGGCCATCTGTTGTTGGGTGTAATGTACACAAAGTACTTTTTTCCATCATTTTTTCCTTTATGATGTGTAGCTGGTGAGTAGAGTACACAGATGAGGATTTGGGCGCATAGCTTGCGATGAATAATGATTAATGCTGTGAGTGCTGCAACACAATGGCAGTCATCCCAACTTTAGAATGCTTTGTTTAGGGACATAGCAAAGGTATAGTTCTGATTGTGTGTGAAATGTGTTTCTTTAAATTATTCTGAATCAGGCATTACTTATTTTAGTTTCCGGTTAAAAAAGTAATGATGAGGAACTTTAGTTGTAATACAGGGGAGGAAAATTATTAGAAATTGAGGTGAAGAGAGAAAAAATGTAGCACATAAGCATACCATTTGACCTATGTGCTTATTTCGCTCACAAAATACAAAGTCACTTCACTGCAGTATATTCTGTGAAGAGCTTTGAGACATCTCAAAGATGTGATAAGGCGCTATATCAAATGCAAGTATTATTATTGTTATGTGTTTATATTGCAGCAGGTTCCTGTATTTGGAGTAATACACACTATTCATCTTTCCCCTAAATTTTCCCCAAAACCACTTATATTGTTTCACTTTAAGTACTTATTCAACCCATTTTTAAATGTTTCCTGGAGAGTAGAATGATCAATTTTCTAACACAGGAGATATGTAAACTGTCTTAAGTAGACTGCAGACTTACAGAAAGATTTATGCTTTAATATGCTTTATGTTTTAACATAAAATGGGAGTGTTCAAGTGAAGTAAAAACAGAAAATGCTGGAAATACATAGCATATTTTGTGTGTGTGTGTGTGTGAGAGAGAGAGAGAGAGATGGGGTGACCTTACGTGTGTGGCCAGTTTTCATATGTTTTTCTAGGATTTTCTATTTTAGATTTCTGGCATTGTCAGGTTCTGTTTCTTTTTCTCCTTACGAAGATTTTTGCAGGAATATGGTCTTCAGAAAATGAGAATCTAAAGTGTCGAATTGACAACATTAGTTAAAATCAAATCTTTTGATGCTGCATCTTTTGATAATCTTCTGATAGTCCTTTTAATGCCATTTCACCTCCAGATCTGCTGATTTTTATCACCTCCAGCTTTTTTAAAAAGTACAAATCTTGCCTTGATAGATAGATAGATAGAGAGACAGAGAGAGAGACAGAGAGAGAGACAGAGAGAGAGACAGAGAGAGAAATAGATAGAGAAATAGATAGAGAAATAGATAGATAGATAGATAGATAGATAGATAGATAGATAGATAGATAGATAGATAGATAGATAGATAGATAGATAGATAGATAGATAGATAGATAGATAGATAGATAGATAGATAGATAGATAGATAGATAGATAGATAGATAGATAGATAGATAGATAGATAGATAGATAGATAGATAGATAGATAGATAGATAGATAGATAGATAGATAGATAGATAGATAGATAGATAGTATCACAGAAATGTACCTGATTGGTTGTTATTATGAAGCCCCCTATTCCCTGGCCCGTTAGGAGGGCCGGGGTTGCTTCAGGCTAAACGACCTTGGGCGATATAAGGTCCTAGGACTGGAATCCCAGCTTCCAGGAGAGGTGGAGAGCACTAGGACCCCGAGGACTCGGCTCCTCGTGTGGTGCGATGAGTTGGAAAAAGACAGAGAGGCATCGAGGAAGGACTCGAGCGTGAGGGCTGCGATTTTACAGGGGTTTGGGATCCGATCTGGAACTGCAGCTGCAACTCGGATTTTTTTTTTTTTTTTTTTTTGCCCGTCGGAGTGAGCCAACGTGTGAGGATTACCGGGAGCGATGTGAAATCGGAATCAGAATCGCGTCTGCAGCCAAGAGCGGATGCTGCCCGGGGTGGACTATAAGGAGAGAGCGCGCCGAGCTCAGGATTAAAAGGTTACTAAATCAGGCTGAGGAACCATTGCAGTCGAGGTCTTTAAAACTCTGCTCGCCCAGAGATCCGATTCCATTAACATTCCCAGGCTCTGGGGCTGGATGGCTGGGGCTGCTGCTGCAGTGGCCCCCAGTTCAGATTCTTACATACCTGAGCAATGCTTCCAAATCTTTCTACACCCAGATTTGATCTTTGTAAAATGTTTCTCTCTCTCTCTCTCTCTCTCTCTCACCCCACCCCCCACCGCACCTCACCTCATGTTTTCGTGCTCTCTGTGTGTGTGTGTGTGTGTTTTGTATATTGTTGGTCCTGTTCTGTACGCAGGGCGGCAGAGCTGGTTTTGTGTGCGAGTCGGATATTTGGGGGCATTTGTGTTTTTGCGTGGGGATTACTGTGTGTGTGTGTGTGCAAAAAATCCGCGAGGAAACTGGACACTGCTCCCTGTTGTGCTTGTCATATTATGTGCTTCCAGTTCATTGAAACCAGCGATTTGAGCAACACTTTCACTTGAGCATTCTCACTTCTCGATTTTTTTTTCACCCACATAAAACTAACCGTGCATGACCAACCAACCTCTTGCCTTCAAGACTCTTCGATGTTGCAGTTTTAATAATAAAAATCCTTCCATTTGATATGACGCCATATCGCATCTTTGAGACGTCTCAAAGAGCTTCACAGAATATCCTGTAAAGTGAATTGAGTGTATACTTTGTGGGCGAAACACGGCAGCCAATTGCGCAGAGCAGTGTCCCACAAATAGTCGTAGATTGAATGACCAAATTATTTCTTGCCATATTGTGCCGTTTCTAGCAGCCAAGGATTGAGTTGTTTTCTTTTTTGAGATTTAAAATGTTAATGTACACTTTACGATGACTAATATGAACTGATATGTATACTGAATGTGCTTTTGTATATAATAATACTTGCATTTGATATAGCGCTTTTCACGTCTTCTCGATGTCTCAAAGCTCATCACAGAATATACTGTAAAGTGAATTGACTGTATATTTGTGGGCAAAATGCGGCAGCCAATTGCGCACAGCTGTGGATTGAAAATGACCGATTTATTATTGTTTTGTTTTGGACGGATTATTTTTAGATGTGTGGAGTAAGGAAACTTGCCCAAGGTTTCTCCCTGCCTGGAATTGAACCCAGGTGTCTCGCTTCCAAGGCGAGTGCTCTAACCACTGAGCTACAGGACTCAACTCCATATGTAGAAATGATTCCTAACTTTTGAAGTACTGTATGAGGTGAGGTTGGATCGCCTAAGTGGCGAGTGCATGGTTTAAAAGGCCCTGTGTACCAGTTTGAAAGGCTGTGTCTGATTTATTCTGCTCTATTGATTTTTTTCACAAAAAGTGAGTGCTAATTTGGGATATCATCATGTTTCGAAAGTTTTTTTTAAATATTAAAATTGGATAGTATCGTGGGAAAAAATAGTGAATGAATTGCTAGTCAGAGGTAACAGCAACAATCAATTACATTTGTATAGTACCTTTTACGTCGGGAGACATCCCAAGGTGCTGGACAGTCACGGATTTGAACCCGAGCATTTGTACTTCGCTTTCAAGATATTTAGTCTCGTCTCTTCCTCCCATCTTCCCCCTAATTTTCAGTTCTTGTGAAAATGATCAAACCTCAAACAGTCTTAGTAGTTATGATATCCTGTTTTCACACCTTATTTTCTTGTTGCAATATTCGAAGTGAATTATATTGTATATCTACAATTGAAGTTCTTAGGCACTCCTGCTTCTTTTTTAGACTCTCAAAGCGCTTCACAGAATATACTGTAACGTGACTATATTTTGTGGGTGAAACGCACTAGTCAATTGCGCACAGCACTGTCCCACAAACAGTTACTGATTGAGTGACCAAATTATTATTATTTTCTTTTTTTTGCTAAGAAGAATAATAATTTGCGATGCGGAAATTTTTTTACAATAATAATTCTTGTATTTGGTGCAGTAGTGCTTATGAATGAATACTTCACAGGCAAGCATAGCGACAGTAATTAATGTTCCACAAACACCCAAGAAGCGAATGACCAATTTAGAAGATTGTTCGTCAGGATCAGGAAAATTCCCTTGTCTTTCAAATAGTTCCATGGTATTGTTAGTGTCCACTAGAGCAGGCAGAAAGGATCTCAGGTTAATGTCATCAGAATGATGACACCTCCGACAACACAGTGTCAGACATTCTTTGGGGGTCAGCTGGTTGTCAAATGTGGGTACCCATCACATCCTTACTAGTGTCCAAACCAAGCTGAGATTTCCATGTATCCCACCCGCAGAAGGAAATCCCAGAGATAGACTTTTGGAATGGAATGCGCACCCTCTCCCTGGAGGGACGCAACCAGAGAACATAGGAACAGGAATAGGCCATTCAGCCCTTCAAACATATTCCGACATTTAATTAGATCATGGTTGATCTGTGTTTCAACTAATCCTTTCAATTCCAATTTCCCTCTTTCTCGCCATATCCCTTAATACCCTGACCTACCAAAATTTAGGTTGGATTTAGGCAAGCATCCTGCTTACTAAAATCTGGAAAGTATTAGGTGCAGGAATCAAGGCTTGGGGATGCCAGAGTGTGCGTTGGGGCATTGTTGAAGTCTAGCCAGCTTCATACCTCATAGCTCGCCATTGATATTTTTCTTTAGACAGTATGACTTCCTCCCACAACCTTCAGATGTAGGTGGATGAAGGTGGATCAACTGGATGAAGCTGACTGTACCTTCCTTTAAACCTGCCTTAAGACCTATTGACTGTGTTTTTGGCCACCTTCTCCCCCCCGCAGCACAGGATCCCAGTTAGTTGTATGAGACACCCTTTCAATTTGAAAGGTGTGCTGTATAAATGTAAATTAGTTTGCTAGTACTGTATCTTAAATTTGCTCAAATTTTCTCGCTTTTCTGGAAGCCCCTGACAATACAGTTGGGGTATTGTTTCACGGCTTTTTAGTGAATGACCATTGGCAGGCAGTGCTTTTGCCAACTGAGCCATGTCCTTGCTGGTAACAAATGGAAGGGTACAATATTTACACCTTTTTGATTATTCAATATTCTGTACTGAAATGTGAATGCAAAATCCTCTGAGTCTGATGCCAGACTTCATATAATAATTAGCATTATCCTTGGATTTGATGTCTTACAAATAGTAATGAAGTAAAGTGACCGATTTTTTAATCTAGAGATTTTCAGCCAAGACATTGGGAGACCATCACGTGTTTAAAGGCCAGAGCTGTCTGGGTGGGGCCTGCAGGAGAGAGTTTCCAATAATTGTTTTTTTAAAAAAAGGTTGTGCTTGTGCAAGTTTGTCTTTCCAGTTTCGTGCTCTCTGTGTGCTTATACAGTAATACAATACTCCAGTGACCCAACTATCTGGGGATGTATAGTGCGTTGTGTAGATTGACTATCTTGGTGCAGGGCTGACACTGGGGTTTATGCCTTGACTCACTGATAAACAATCAACAGCCTTCTTTCTCCCTGCAATGAAAGTTAAGCAATTGTATGGTGGAAGCCTAGAGAACTACAAAGCCCTTTCTGATTTGCAATATTCTATCTAAATGCAGGGGGAAACGACCACAATAACGGGTGGCCCAATTCAGTTTGACAGAATTAGTGCTGCTGCATTCCTTTAAATCTTAAGGCAACCGGACATTTTTCTGACATGAAGGGCGCTATACAAGTGCAACTTGTTGTTGTTAAGTGATACTGCCCATATTTAAATAGTTACTTTTTGTGCTTTTAAAAAACGTCCTACTGTTCATGTTGCCACATACTGGGTGTGTGTATATATAAAGGCAGTTAAACACTATTGCTATATAGGGTTGAGGAAAATTTTTAAACTCAACGTCGTATTACTTTCATCATATATTGTGGCTTTTTATAAACCTAGGATTATAAACACTGTATTGTATGAGTTGTGTTTTTTAGGGGTAATTTTCGCAGTGTTTACATCTCTGTCCTGCAAAAGCACTTTCTGTAATCTTTCCTGTGAAGCGCTTTGAGATGTCCTTCTGACATGAAAGGCACTATATCGAATGTTAGGATTAATCTATTATCTTAAATGTCAGCCAGAGAAGTGGACAAGTGTACACATTTAGACATTTGGTCGATTGTTTTAGCTGATGCTAAGGAGATTTTATTATGACACAGAAATACTGCTGTAGTTGTCATAAACGTTAGTTGTTGCTGAACAGTTTCATATATATTGCCCTCTTTAACATTGACTTTTGTAGGGGTAATGCTTTTTTTGTGGATCAAAGTAAAAATAGACAGGGATCTATCCAAACTGAAGATATTTGTTTGCGTTACCAACCAGCTATTACTGTTCAAACTGTCACTGTGTGGGATGAGCTATCATCCTGCAGTCACTTACCCTTGTGTATTAGATAATGTGCTTGTTGTTGTGCATTTATTTTAAAAAATCTATAATTAATATTTTGACAATTTGAGTTTTATGTACATTTTGGATTTTATGCTTGATATAGATCAAGTCTAGCTTTGTCACGTAAACAAAACAGATATAAAGAAACTATAGATTTGCTATTTTAAGAAAAATAGAAATGTATAAGCAATATGAAACCATCTTATACATTTGCTTATCCTGTTGGATTTGTGTTTCTCACTCCAATTATAATAATAGCAACACTTGCATTTGATGTAATGCATTATGTCGTAACGTCTCAAAGAGCTTCACAGAGTTTCTGTGAATATGGCAACCAATTTGCCAACAAACAACCATAATGTGAATAACCAATTTTTTTTCAATCTGGAGGATTTTTGATCAGGGCACTAGGAGAAACTCCCTTCTTTTTTTCAATAGTGCTATGGTATTCAAATTGGCATCATAACTATAATAATGCTTGCATTTTATATAGCGCTTTATCATATCTTGAGACATCTCAAAGTGCTTCAGAGAATATACTGTAAAGTGAATTGATTGTATATTTTGTGGGCGAAACGCGACAGCCAAGTGCGCACAATCAGATTGTCTGACCA